ATGTTGTAGGTCACTGAAAGTAGCTCTCGAGTAGCCCACAAGATATCGATTCAAGAACTTATCGCGTGAAGATCTCACAGTCTACCTGTATGGACGAAACGTGTGCCCGAGATACAGGTAGTCCTCCATTCACTTCGTCACATTTTAAAATTCTCAGCCCTCTTTCCGCTCGAGTTCCATTATTAGTATTGGACTTGTGGGTGCTTTCTCGCATTATTTGTAGGAGAGGCAGTCAGTATTCCATTCTATTCTATTCTATAGCCAACAAGATGACACAGGACAACAACGACGACTCGACCATCCATGTCTATTCCTCCGCCTTGGAAATGGCCGCGGCCATTCGAACCGGAACTATTACCAGCCGTGAGTTAGTGGAACAGCACATTGCTCGCATCGAACGATTGGATCATTGGAAGATCAATGCCGTGGTGCTTCGCGACTTTGATACCGCCCGAGCCCAAGCCGATAAAGCGGATGAAATGGTACGAAATGGAGAATCGCTATTATTAGGTCCCTTTCATGGAGTCCCCTTGACGTTGAAGGAATCCATCTTTACTCCCAACTTTAAGACCACCATGGGAGATCCCAAATTCTGGGTTCCACCTGGCGCCCACTCGGAAACGGCACGTCTCATGATGGAAGACGGAGGAGCCATTCTCATGGGCAAGACCAACTTGTGTAAAAATGCCCTCGATTGGGAGAGCAATAATCCCATCTATGGAGCCACGTCCAATCCATTTGATACCACCAAATCTCCCGGTGGATCTTCAGGAGGAGCCGCGGCGGCATTGGCGGCGGGGTTCACTCCCCTCGAAGTAGGAACGGATTTGGGAGGAAGTGTTCGCATACCGGCTGCCATGAATGGCGTGGTGGGCCACTGTGCCACGCGAGGAATTGTGCCCGCTCCCAATCCAGTTTTCAATTGGCCCTGTTGTGGTGGATTCGCGACACGACAAATTGGAAAAATGCTAGATGAGTTGCTGTGGATGGCTCGAGCAGGACCATTGGCTAGAACGGTGCCAGATGTCCAGGCCATGTTGCAAGTCTTGGGAGGCGACCGAGCGGCGAGTCTTCCACAGCCCACGTTATTGCAAGGACTGAAAGGTGCCCGTGTGGGCATTTGGCGATCCCATTCGGTCTGCCCTCCTGGAAAGGAAGTATCGAATGCTTTGGATCTGGCAGTGGCAGCGTTGAAAGCGGCGGGTGCCAATGTGGAGGAGCTCCAACCACCCATGGACCCGATGGAAACCTACTTGGTCTACCTTCGATTTCTGGGACCTATTACCGGCGCATTCATGACGGAAGAACAAAAGACAAACGTGCAGAAAGGATGCCCTCAGGACAGCTATCCAAAAGAAATGAAGTCTCCTTACTGGGAGTTTGATGTGTCGGCCATCCAAGGCGTGCCCAAAGGAAACATGGAGGCCTACCACAAGGCTATGGATATTTGGGACAAGTTCCTAAAAGATCATTACGATGCTGTACTGTGCCCAGTCTTTTCGAGAGAAGCCTGGCCCAAGGAATCCCCACCGTACGCGGTTCTCCCAGACCACAAAACGGGCGCTCGAAAGTTCACCGTGGACGACGATGAAGATCGATACTATGGCGACAATTTGTTTTGGGCTCATCTTTCGGTTCTCTGCGGTTTTCCAGCGACTAGTTTCCCCGTGTGTCGTACAAAGGAAGACGGATTGCCGGTGGGACTGCAAGCCTTTGGCTGTCGAGAGAGTGACTTTGTCGTGTTGGACGTGGTTCAAAAATTGACGCAACAATTGCAGATGGATCAGTTCGAGCCTCCGCATGACTTCTCTTTGTAGCTCTTGGAATTACCTATCCATTTACCCAGTTAGTTGTTTCCCGCGGTTCGGTTAAAAAATCACTATTCAGCACTGTAGATTCCACCTTGGGAGTCGTTTCAATCCAATCTTTCTTGGTTGGCTACATCCTGCATGTTTTGCTCACTCTAAATGGGGCCACGATCATCGCCAACCTTCTAGCTAGGAGGCAGATATGCCTTTCTTGGCTTTGAAAAATCAAGATGCGGCGTCCTGATTCTTGTCGTCATCTAGGGCATTCGTGTTGCACAAACATGCAATTTACAGCCACAAAGAGTGGTAGCGCAGTCAAACCCAGAGATTTGCTTCCAGTGATGTCCAGACCCCAAACTCACTTGGGATGGTGCCAGCCTTGCTGTGGTTGCTGCTCACACCATGGAAGCATTGGAGCAGACACAGTTACAACCACACAAAACATAGGTACAATCAAAACCAAGAAAGCAAGGTTTTCTGTTCCAGGCTGGTCCATACATACAATTCTGCAAGAAGCATAGCTCCTATGGGATTTTGCCAGATAAACCAAGGCTTTCAGACAGATTCAGAAAACCAAGATTTGTTAGCAGTCCAAGCTCTGATGGCACAGATCCAGTTAACTCATTGGAGGCCAGTGACAACGCAGTAAGATCAGTCAAAAGCCTGATTTCATGCATCCTCAAGCCAGACAAAGCAGTGAGTTGATCAAATTCCAAAGGTATCTGGCCAGACAACTGATTGCCTGACAAAGAAAGGGATCCCAAATCTGTCAAGAGTCCAAGCTCAGAAGGAATTTGGCCTGATAGCTGATTGAATGAAAGTCCAAAGTCAGTCAAACCAGTCAATAGTCCAAACTCTGTAGAGATATGACCACTTAGCTGGTTATCATACAACCACAATGCAGTCAAGCCAGTTAGATGCCCAAGCTCAGAGGGGAGAACACCACTGAGCTGATTAAAACCCATCCACAAACCAGTCAAACCAGTGAGCTGTCCAAGCTTGGAAGGAATCTGGCCAGTAAGTTGATTTGCACCCAACTCCAAGTAAGTCAAACCTGACAGGAGTAAAATCTCAGAAGGAATCTGACCTGATAACTGATTGAAAAAGAACCCCAAGGAGGTCAAACCAGTCATCTTGTGCAATTCTGGTGGGAGAAAATATGAAAATGGTGCAGTAGTGCCAATTCTTTCCAATCGAAAGTCGGACAAAGAAGTCAGGAGAGCAATCTCTGGTGGAGTGAATGGTGAAAGATTGGAAAGCTCTAGATCATCCAAATTGAGAGAAGTGAATTTTCCATGGCCATCACAAGGAGCTATTTGATTTGGAATTTCAAGGTAGCTGCCATCATCCAACAACCACACCAAATCCACCAGAATGCCATAGGCACTCTTCCCTGGTGTCATCCATCCATCGCTCCTGTATGACACGGTTCCAATTTTCACCTTCAAATGAATAGAAGAATGTAGCAAGAGCAAACAGCTGTATCTTCCTCCATTCTGGTAGGAATGTGACATTCTGGTGATTTGCCAGCCATTGCCATGCCTTCCACTGAGGAGTTTCACTGCCATTGTTCATGCTAGCCAAAGTGTGAGTTGGTAGGCTATCCAAGAGCAGGTCCAGGTGTCCTGTGGGTGCAGATGTTGGGTCTTTGGAAGGTTCCAGAGATCCATAGACTGTTGGTCTACTTGTCGACGGCTGGATGATCACAGCCGGATCCCTTTTCCCTTGGGTTCCAATGACAAACCCCATAACAATGGCCCCAACAAGACACAACCAAATTGCTGCCGCAATGAAAAGATGAAGCTGCTGCTTCTTTTGCTGTTGTCGCTGTTGAGCTGCTTCCAAATCCACAGCGTCCAAACCATGTGGACTACCCCTGCAGGAGCACCTGGAGCATTGTTCGGAATTGGCACCGGCGTGATATCCACACTGGCGGCGACAAGACTATAGTCTAGATTTCGGGTAGGCCGTACGGTAGGCCTGAAGCCGCCCCTCCCATGTAGAATGCGCCTGGATTGGACATTGAGTGATTGTTCGCAAGACGGGACAACGTGGTTGGCTCCACAAGATGTGGATGAATGAACAGGTTTGCTGTTGGTGTCTGTTATGTCTTCTGGCGCATTCTGGATGGCCGCCGTATTGGAGTCCTCCATATTAGAAGCTCCTCCCACGCCTTCTGGCTCTTTGAATTCTTCTTGAGAGTCTTTCTTCGGCTGTTCACTTTTAAATTTTGGAGTGTCAGCTGATGCAATCACAAGGCTCCCACTTTCCATGCTGGCTGTAGCGTCTTCCTTGGGTGCTGCTGCTGCTACATCTTGTTGCTTAAACTCGCGGCGTTCTAAAGAATTTCCACCGGTGACGTTGCGGGCTCTGGCACCCTCCTCCAACCGTGGTAGTGGCAATGCCACACGATTCTCCTCCTCTTCTGGCACTTCATTCAGCGTAGGATACATGCGATCTGCACAGACACGATCGTCCTGCAGGGCATCCGTGACCGACGAATCGCAGGTTTCCTCGGTGTCGTCTGTGCGAACTCGTTTTTGAACAATTTCAGTGGGTACAAGCCGCTGATCAACATGCTGTTGCTCATCTTCGAGTGCTCGGCTCAGTGAATCGTCTTCCATCGTACGGTAGGAGTTGTCGTCGTTGCGTTGGATTGAGAAGCAGGTACAGCAAACTATTCTCTACTCTACATGATGCTTCTCTCAGGGTTCTTTCGTCGTTGCAAGATAGCCAGATATAGCCTGACACCACGAGCTGTGGCGCTGCACCCAACGGTTGGAGTGACAGTCACCCCTTCGACCTCTGACGTAAGAGAAGGTCGCCGCTCTGCCCATTTCCTCGGCGAACACTCACGAGAAACAAAGCTTTAACTGCTTCTTCCGATTTAAAGAACGAGTCTTTTCAAACCAATCTGTCCCAGAGCAGAAAGCTTCTGTCGCAATTACTTCCAACGTACAGTACCTGCATGTACTGAACTAGTTACGGACACACTGACACTTACAAAATAGATGTGTTAAATCGAACATGGGCAAAGCAATAAGGTGCGGAGGTGATGTACACGTATGTCATCTCATCTCTTCTCTGCTCAACTTGAAGTTCACTGAAACTCCCAACTCTCAACTCTCAAGAAAAGAGAAGTCACTGCATGAATGAGATTCGATTCAGATTCAAGCTCGCTCCTCGCTCTCTATCGGTAGCCGGTAGCTACCGGTACCGGCAGAGAAAGCTCCCAGAGGCAAAGCCCAAAACTCACGAAGATGCTAGGAAAACCTCGTTGTTGCTGTGGCCTGCTGCAGTTTTCGGCCGGACTTTTAAAAACCGGACCCTATTCGTACGGTACCGGTATCTGCGAAGACTCGACTCATTTGATCGTCCTTCTACATACCCACGTTGTGACAGACTTTTGATTTTTGAGGCGATTGCTTGCTTTTCCGACCATGCAGGATACTGGCAATAACAATGGATGCGCCATGAAGGTTGGCAATGCCACTTGTGTGAAAATAATGCGGATAGATCGAGCGGTTCCCTGCGGTGTGGATTTCGTTGTGGCAAGAGACTCGTGGGTGACTTTTCGTGCGAGGGGGGAAGTATACGGTTGTGTCATATGCATGCGCCTTCAATACAACTGGGGAGTGTCTGTACCAACAATGGCGCCGTTGCTTGTCATCGATCGCAGAGGATCGACGCGACGAATTTCAATGAAGAATGGCTACAATGGATTAAATACTCTTCTTTTCCCTCTGCTTCTTCAACCCAACCCAAGAAGGGAGACTCCACAACAGCTCTTCCGTCTTCCACGAAACCGTGATGCTGTCAGCTTTCCAATGGTTGCCAGGTCCGACGAGTCTACAGTATCCTGGTACTGCTGCTTTCTCCTATTTATTAAATTTTCCATTTCTGGGTGTAAATTTCTCGTTACGTAGGGTTCTACGATGACCCCCATATGTAGCGATTTTGAAACGGTTTTCAAAATTTCTACGGGATTTTTCTACGCATGCCCACCATACAGCAACTTTTTCGAAACGGCCGACTCCATTATTTTCACTCCATTTTTGACGAAAATTCAAAATCGTTTTTTAAAATTATTTTTATTAACGTGATCATGAAATCCTCCACAATGGCATTCAATCTTGTCGGCGAGTCGGAAGGAGGGTCTCAATCCAATCGACCGAGTGTCGAGCTCTTTTTCTTCCTCTTGGACGACGGTGCTGGCGACGCTGGAACATAGGCTGGGTTGAGCAGTAATTCTAGTGCCAATCACTTGGACAATTCTCTCCGAGGTGTTGTCGAGTCCATAGTCAATAGCTGGTCAGCTGTGTTGGTACATCCATGTTGCGTCCCCAAGCCAACAGCAAAGTTTTGGCCTGAGCTCCGTCGTTAAACTTCTGGATTCTGGTGTACTGTCATTTCCAACTCCGCTCGTTGGCCAGAATTGAGCGGCAGCCACGGCCTGAGCACAATCCGACCTCAGGGTGAAGAAGAAAAGGCTGAGGCCAAACCAGAAACCGTTATACTCTATTTGAAGGCTAGCTAGTCTAAGTACAACTTGTCCACCATGCCGCTACGAGTAACCTAGACTAAGCCATCCGGGTGGAAGAGAGTTGCCCCCCTGAGCCGGGAAAGAAGTTTAAAACCCAACCGAGGCAAGATTTTTTAAATCACCAACTGGACGAGACCGTACTGCTGCAGGCAGTGCTACGATCTACACTACTGCGAATTGTGTCCACACTGTCGTTGTCTGAGGTCAGACCCAAAAGCCTGATCCAAAGTTGCTGCCGCCTCGGAAAAGGCTGCTGCCAGTTGCTGCTGCTCTCTCTCTGCTTGACCTGGCGCAACCTCTTTGACAACTTATTCAGACTCTATGAACCAGATTCTGGACCAACTGTGCACGGCACCCGACAACCCTCTGCAATCTCAAACGCCGGAGACCACCGCGGTCTCCATCATTCCGCCGCCGCTGTCGACAACCAACTCCCTTGCGCATGCCCCCGAAACCGAAACTCAAGGTGAGAACGTGGTGGCGACTCAGGTGTCCGGACAAGATGCAGCACAGGCGGAAGTGGACTTGTGGCCAGAATCTTTTAATGTTCCGACAGACAGTCAAATCGAGGGTACTGACATTTCGGGCGGCGCGTGACGGTGCAGCGTTGAGAGTGGTGCTTCTTGTACCACTTTCCCAAGCGGGTAGTGGGATCGTCGCAGATGTTCTACGGCAGTACCGGTAGCCAGGCTAGCCAAGTGCGGTGCGCTGGTGCGGCGTTCGGCTGGATTTGAACTATTACCGGGCACAGCACTGCCGATACCAATTGGCTCCAAAGCACTTATAGCGAAATGTAATAGTTGCCTCCGTGTGGTTGTGCAAGGAATCCCAGTCGTCGCGCTGAGGAAGCAGAGGCCCAAGGTCATCCATCCGCTGAAGCACTTGTACCAGAGCAGATAGCCAAGCGAAACAAATTAGCCACACGGTCGCGCTATGGCACGACGTCGTTGATCCGCTCCAATAAGGAACCACAGTTCTCTTCGACAGTCCTTAGATTGGCCTCTCGTTAGGAAGAGGCGGTACATCCAGAATCGCAAAAGGGGTATTAGTTGGGTTTATAGACTAGAATGCATTTGTGTATACTCGGAGCAAAGAGACTTCGAGACAGAATGTACAATACGAAAAATGTAGAACGAGCGAAGCTTTCAAAACTGTTGGTGGCTGCTGGTCGATTCTTTGCTCAAACAGCAGTTGCTGCGGTTCTGCCCAGGTCTCCTTTGGCAGCAGGCATAGCAAGTTGCTTTGATGAAAGACGTCTCTGTTGCCACAACCCGTTGACCACAAAATATTCATACAAGACCACACTGACAAAATTGGCTAGCATGATCCCCAGCATCTTGAATCGGAAGGAATTGGGCATGATGGTGCTGTTGTAGGGATTGCCAATGGGAGCCGGTTCTGAGTCCAAAACACCTCTTACAACATGCTCATTGTCACAGTTGATACGCCAGAGGCAGGAAAGATTGCCAGGGTGGAGGGTGATGACAGTATGGATTGTAATGAAGCCAATGGCCAGAGCAGCAAACACATAGTTTCGCCACCAAGCTTGGCGATATTCGTAGCCAAAGTTGAGAGAGGCAGCTGCAGCCATTAGCTGGATCCCAACCATCAGGAAAAGGACTGAGGTTTCATAGTTGTCACTGGCAGAAAGGATGCTGCCTGCTTGGATGTCTGATTCCCATTTGCGGCATTGGTACCAGTCCTCACTGTACAACACAGCAAAGGCAATCAATGTGTAAATGTAGTTCATGGCAATGACACCCACAACACCACCAACAGTTTGGAGGGACAGGATGGAAGATGTGGGTTGAGCTTTGGACAACTTGGGAGCTGGCTTGGAAAGGGGAAGCGTTAGTGTGAAGGACATTGTCCAAAGCACATCTGTGAAGAACCACATCCAATCTGAGAAGGATACATTGAGGTAGTACATGATCAGCTGGCAGTAGGAACTAATATTTCCATACAAGATCACATATTTGTATGCCGCCATGGTAGAGGCCATGGATCCCCGACCTTCCTTGAAGACCTTTAGAACATCAGCAATGTCCTTGTTCAAGGAAGTCAAGGGAGCCACAACACTAGCATCGCTGTCACTCAATGCCAAGCCAATGTGGGCTGCCCTCAAGGCTCCACAGTCATTGCCACCATCACCACACATCATGGTGGTGAAGGAAAGTGAAGTGAATGTATCCACAACAGAAACCTTGTCCAATGGAGAACAACGCCCAAACACTCGGATGAAGGGAGCCACTTCAGTGGCATACACTTTGTCAGTGTCCAGCAGGACTTGCCATGCCTCCCCTGACATGCTCAACTCAACAGTTAGCTCCTTGGCTGAATCCTTGATGCTGGGTCTATCCATTTCAGTATCATCTTCATCCATCCAGACCACATCCTCTTCTTTGTTTAGGACACCAAGCAAGACACTCTTGTCCTTGTCCATAATGCCGGACTTGCGTGCAATGTGGATGCCGGTATGGAGATTGTCCCCTGTCAGCATGATGGACTGAACGTCTGCTTCTTGGAGTTGTTTGATGACTTCAGGTGTGTCTTCCCTCAGCTGATTTGCAAAGTTCAAGACACCAGCGAATTCTAGGTCACGCTCCACTTCATCTCGAGACAAGGATGCAATTTCTACCCTGTTTTGGGTGTCCAAGTCCTTTGTGCCAACAGCAATCTGGTAGACTCCAGTGCGAGAGTATTGCCTCAATCGATCTTCAAAGGTGTCTGGCACTGTGTCAGGGTCACAGAGCATGCTTAATTTCTCACCAGAACCTTTCACAATCACACTGATAGTCCCACCTGGCTTTCTAACTATCACTGATTGTGTCATGCGAATGTGGTCAAAGTCAAATCTGCGGAGGACATCAAATGTCTCACCACTTTTAGACTTGACTTTGGCAGTCACTCCAGAAGCTTCAACAAGTACCCCTGCACTGGCCTCAAACATGGCACGGTCCACAGGGTTGCCAATGAGGGTGCCAAGTTTGGATTTGGTCAGGGAATGGCACACACACATTGCCAAGGCCATGGTATCAGAAGTCCATTGCCCACAGGTCCAACTATCTGCACTCCTAGCTGAAACGTAGTCCAATCCCTGCTTAGTCAAGGTTCCAGTCTTGTCGAAGAATGCGACATTCACTTGGCTTGCAATCAAGATGCTATCAGAATTGGAGCAAGCGACACCCTGTCTGGCAAGTCGCTCGAATGCAAATCCAACTGGAATGATGAATGTTGTAGGAAGGAGAGGAGGGAATGCATTGGAAAAGGCAGTCCTGAAAGAGGCAAGTGGTGAGTCAATGGAAAAGTCAAATGCATCAGCAAGACGATAAGCCTACTCACATGCCCAAGAACCATGAAACAATTGCTTCATCTCCTGAGGTAAACAAGACAATCAAGAAGAATAGAGTGCTGTAGGTTGCCAGCATGGAAACAACAATGGGAAGTTCTGTTCGAAACTTCAGTGTGTGCTTTCTGAAGATGAGAACATCACGCATCAACTCCCCTTTGGTGGTATTAGAAGCAGTTTTCATGACAAGAGCCAAAGCTTCTTCACACTCAAGAATAGTGGTTCCTGCTGAAAGTGTAACTTTCTTGTGAACTGCTGGATCATACACCTGGCGACTGTGTGGATCAATGGGACTCTTGGCTTGAGGTGTGGCCTCACCTGTTAGGGCACTTTCATCCACCAAGCATTCACCAGTCAGAAGAACCATGTCGCAATTGATCTTCCCAGCATCAATCTGGACAATATCACCTGGGACAAGCTCTGTTTGTTGTACAAGCTCAAGCCTCCCATTTCGAAGGACTGAACTGGGCTGGTCGGAGACATGAGAGATGGCATACAAGACTTGAGCTCCACGGTAGCGGAACCAGGAGATTATGAATGCAGTCATAAGAACCATCAGCCAGACACAAACTGTGGCATACAGGTAGTCAATGCAGATCCAGATCCACACAATATACACCTGGTAGATGTAGAATGGCTTTGCAATCTCTGTTGAGAAGGTTTTAAAAAGGGAAGGAGGTGGAACTTCCATGATATTGGGTCCCACAGCACGAAAGCGCTCTTGGACATCCTTGTCTGAGAGTCCTTTTCCATGCCAACGTGGATGGATTGGTTGATCCCCCATTCCCAAGGACTCTGAGTTGTCATCCATTAGCATGATTCTCTCCAATGCCCATTCAGCCTGTTCAATAGTGCTGATGCCCCTGGGGCTAAGGTCTTGAAAGGTCTTCCCCATGGCCCAGTAGCCTGGCTCAAAGGTGTCTGTGATCTTTTGGAAGTTGTAGCGGCGGAAGAGAAAGACAAGGTATCTTGAACCATCTACGTTGCATTGTACAGGGCAGATGTCAAAGATCCCCTTTGAGCTATCTGGGCGACACTGGGGATCAGCAAAGATAAAAGTGAAGTAGGCCCAAGCAAACGTCTGGGCAGCATCGACAATGGCCATGATAAATGAGGGACACTTGTGGTGCTTGGGACGCTCTTCCTGCTGTTCATTGGTCCTTTCATCTGGTCTGTCAATTGTCTCATGGAAGATGGCCACATGGGTTGCATCCATGAGCTTGCAACGTCGCAAGAAGAGTGATTCAATGCTGTAGGGCCACAGGAGAGAAACATTCCAAACGAAGCTTGTCACCCAGACGACACAGAAAGTTCTCAGTGACATGAGTAGATCTTCACCTTCACTGATCGTGTACAGATGGGTACACAGAATCAGCAGAGCAAACCAACCAAAAAAAGTAAGCAAGGTCAACAGGTAGAGAATGATTCCCACTGGATGACGTTTGTACCCAGTTTGGGTGGTCTTCCTAGTAGTCCCGTCTTCTTCTTTGGTATCAATGGAAACCATAGAGCCTTCCACAGGGCAGACCCGGTGGCTTTAGATCCAGAGTTTGTTAGCCATTAGGTTTGGGAGGCATCTCGTATCGTTAGCTTTGTGATCAAGCATGCACGGAATGATCAATCACTTTTGACGATGAGATTAATCACTTACTTGAACCAACACCAATGTAGAATAGAGATTGTGATAATGGATACCCAACAGTAAACAGCAAGATATCCTGGACTGGTCCATGAGAGTTTGCCCACATCACCAGCTGCAGCAGCATCGTCGTCAAAGTCAAAGCCGGGGCACATGGCCGCAAACTCATACCATGGCCCATAGTCTTCAAAGCAGGCATCATAGTAGGTGTTCACAGAGGCACAAGTCACGGGAGAGCAGGAGCTGATCTCCTCACAGGGAGATGTCAAGCTTGGATCACAAAACACAGCACACGATCCATCAGCACAAAGGGTCTCATTGACATTGTTGCACTTGAGCTCTTCAGGACAGTCATCATAAGTTGGAGAGCAAACCTGAGGGCAAGTGGTTGTCACTGGGCACGTAAAGGACAGGTCAACATAGAGATCAGTGGCATCTTCCTGGGCGGATACGACCAATGGGGCCATCCCAAATACGAGAAGAAGTGCGAGGAGGACCATCGTAGAAGTTGTTGGGTGCTTGCTGCTGGAGTCAGGCGCAAGTAATTTGTGTGTTGGCTGCTTTGCTTTTGGCGTAGCACAGATGGGGGGAAAGGGAAGGAAAAATTTTGTGGCAGCTCTCAGCTCGTCGCTCAGCCCCGGGATGAAAAGTTGTTTTTGGGGCTTCCGCCTTCCGCGATTGTTGCCTTACATTGAACGAAGTGGAGTGAAAGAGCTACTGAAAGTTGGTGAGCCAGAAGGCCTAACTAAATTAAATAAAGACTAAATCGAATGATTTAAAGACCATTCGACCGATTTATTGTCAACGCTCACCAAGCAGTGGTCTTATGTCTTCTATCGATGGAAACCCAGACTTCAGAGATATTGCTCGAGCTTGAACCTGAGAATTTTACAACCCCTGTGCTCTTCTCACTTCTCAGTCGGCACATCGGCACTGAAGATTGACTTACCGTTTGGGATGAGGGCAGCTCGGTGCAGCTCTCGGTGCTGGGTCGGGAGTGGCTGAAGTGGCGAAATCTGCAGAACACAGGGGATTAGGCAAGAATGTTTCTATTATGCCTTTTGAAGCTGCACTATTGCGAACCAAATGTCCCGAGCAAACATATCGCCATAAGGGCGCTCTTGTTGTGACCGCGAGTATAGAAAAACGAGATAAGCAATAAGCAATGGTAGCAAGGTTACATCCGGATCTCCTTGAACCTTGTTTCAGCACTCCATCGATAACCCATACTCAATACGGTAAAGGTAGAAACCTCTGGCCGCTTGGGTACCGGTACCACCAGAGGTACTGGTACGGTAGCAGGGAAACGAATTATTGCCGCATATGGTACCTGGTACGAGTACAATGTCATGTTCCGGTAGTGGGTCAAGGGAAGGGAAATAGCCAGACACGCGAGCCAATGAATCGATGGTGTGGGGTGTGGGGACAAGTAGACCTACTAGCTGATTGTACTGTACATGTACTGCATCAGGGAGTTAGACTACCATCATCGGCTCTGGAAGCTACGACGGCAGTTCTATGTTCTATGCAGGAGATGCCGCTGTGGATTACTGTATCAACCGAGCGAGGCATCTTGTGAATGTCCTTCGACGGGAAAAACGAAAGGGCAGGTTGTCGCAATCAGCATGTCCAGCTCTGAGCCGAGTCGAGTCGAGTCGACTGAGACTCGTCACTCTACAGTACATGTAACCGGCACCATATATTTATTTATAAGCCATAGACTCGATAACCCATACTGAGTACCGGTACTGTAGAAGCCAAACTCGAGAATGCACGAATTGTGCGTGGAGCCATCCTCTTCTGGTTGTAGTTGCGGGTTTATGGGTGGGTAGATTTTATAAGTCATAGTGCCGCCGAGTGCCATGGAGGTCCGAAACTGCTAAGACACACTTGGAAGCTGACGACCCTTGCTTCTCGTGCCCAACGTCGCTTCTTCCTGCTGAATGCTGAAGGCTACCGATAACCAAACGAGAATGCAACAGTTCCTGGCTGAATGGCTATGTTGCTGGTTGGTTGGTGTGTCTTTGAGAAAATTACTACTGAAGTGTTGCTGCTTGCTGCCAACCTGTCTCGCTGTAGTTGGCAGTATCTGCACCGTTTCAGCAGAGCTGGAGAGGGGTTCTGGAGCTGAGGGCCTGGAGCGAGGAGAACTGGGAGTAGCTGCAACTTTACAGGAGATACGAAGATGTCTTGGAACATGAAGGTCAATGAGCTTCAGGTACTAGTATTGTGCATCCTCCAACTTGAAAAGCGTGTGGCCCTTCCTCTTTGTGTTAGCCTCACTAAAAAAGATAGGCTATAGGCTGGCCTACTAGCAGCTATAGTAACCGCACAACAAGGCTCTACCGGTACCAGTAGAGGGAAGCCAGTGCATGAGGGCTTTAGCCAGTGCATGAGGCCTAAATGGTTGCTTGATTTAAGCGTCCTGTTACCACCATTGTTTCTCCTCTGGTGCCAGAGCTGCTGGTTAGCCTTGCCTCAAAGACAGATGAACTACTGTACATTGGAACCCAGTGTAGGGGCAGCACTACAACGAAAATAATCAGTAGAAGATGGTCCTAGCTACCGGTACCGGTAGATACCGGTAGGTTGCATTGGGGCAGTGGGATGCTCTGCCCTTTGGGCATCCAGTGTTACAGTGTTACCCAGTCCTTGCGTTCTTGCGTTTTCACCAGAGGCAAGTTGACGCTTGCTTCTCGTGCAGCACCAACGTTCGCTTCTATCTGAATGCTAACCAAAGGAACCAAAGGAGCCAGAGTCACCATGTAAAGCCCAATGTACAGAAGTTCAAGAATGGCTCTATTCTTCCTGGTTGGGTGTGTCTTTGAAAAAGTGAGTAAGAAGCTGTGTAGTTAGTTGCAGCAGTGTTGCAGACAACCTGCCTCGGCTGCGGGTTCGCAGCACGCACCTTCACCGCTTCAGAGCTCCAGGGGGGTTCTCGAGCTGAGAGTGTGGAGAGAGGAGAATGGGAGCAGCTACATGTACAGGTACATCCTTAGGAGGTATGATGATGTCTTGGAACGTGAAGGTCAATGAGGTACAGGTATTGCGCAATTGGCTTCTTGATATCTCAGGCCATCCTTCAACTTGAAAAGGGTGCGGCCTTCCTCTTTGCGGTAGCCTCACTAAAAAATATAGACTCGACTCTGGCCTAGCTAGCTGGTACATGTAGTAGCGGCACAACAATGCTCTGCCGGTAGAGGGCAGTGCACAAGGCCTCAATGGTTGCTTGATTTGTCCTCCTTTCAGCTACCACCCTTGATTCCGGTCTGGCCTGACACACAGAGCTGCTGGCTGGCCTTGCCTCAAAGACAAATGAACTACTGTACATTCGAACCCAGTTGAAGGGGCAGCACTACAACCGAAAGGCGTCAAGGGTTGCTTTTGTCATGATCTGTTTTCCAGCTCGCTGGCAGTTGAAACGTGGGCGAGGATACCGGTAAAACCTTCTCGAGTCGTTGTAGTACTGGCAGCTCTGGTGGCCAACTTGGAGTTCCTCCAACCAAAATCCCTGCTTGCTCTTTGCGGTACGCCCTCCAAGAAAAAGTGTGACTGTCACTCTTGCCTTACTACCTGCCGCCAACTGTGCAGTCCACGAGGCCTCAATGGCCGTGCTTCGTTGTTTCCCATCTCGCTTGGCTGGACGGGCACTCAAAGCTGCTGGCTGGCCTTTGAATAAATAAATGAACTAGCTATCTTCAAACCGAGTTGACTGGCAACCTGCTGAATGGCGACAATAGTGGTTTCTTTTGTTGTGTGAACAAATTATCATTCTCCAAAGCTAAGAAGACCGTTCAACGGGCTCTGCTCGGGTGCCCTCGAGTGATGGGATATTCACAACAGCTACTCAACTACTGTGCTGGGGGCTCGTGGCCAGACACATTTCCTAACAGAGTGCTGAGTACACAAACCATGGAAGTCCAGCGTCCAGTGTCCAGCATCATTCGTTGTACGGTGGCCAGTACGTACTCTAGAGGTACAATGTCATAATACGTGAGCTAATACAGTCAACACTCACTTAAGTTCCGTTTTTTTAAGTTCCGTTATTCTAAAAAGTTCCACTTTTTCAGGGCTGCCCCCCCCCTCAGTCACTAGTTCTCATGACTGAGCATGACTGACTGCTGAATGGGTTTTGTGGCTGTTTGAGGCTGGGCTTGTAGTTAGAACTTTTCAAAATGAGGAAACAACAGTCACATTTTTCTTTAAAAATTACTTAGAATTATGTGGGATTACTTTGGGATACCTTTTTAGGAATCTCATTTATACATATGAAAAGTTAGTTCAACTTTCTCTTTCTCTTTCATGCCAGACACCCTCAGGTACTCGACAAAGCCTAAAGAGCACGTTTTACTAGCATTTGCTAGTAGTAACACAACTAGTCGACAATAGAGACACTATATGTAGCGGCGATGTGGTTCCACCCTATGAAAGATTGGTTCCTTTTACCCCTAATAACAATAGAATATGACAGGAACCACCCCAAGTGGGTCCTAAGACCACGAACGGGCTGATATGGGGCTCCAAAGATCTAAAGTTCCGTAATTCAGCTAAGTTCCGTTTTTTTCTTAATGCTGGGGGGTAGAACTTTAGTGAGTGTTGACTGTACCCGTAGATGTACTATTACTAGTAGCATCTACAGTCATACGATTTTAGCAAAAAGTCTACAGTGGTCGATAGCAGGGCTTTGCGAGCTGTCAGTGGTGCGTGTACCGTACAGTACTGGAGTACTCCAGTAGTCAGGCGTAAAAGCTCCCAGTTCTAGTGTCTATTCACTAGCCAGTACCGGTTCCGCGGGCGGAAAGCCACTTCGCAAAGCTGGAGCAAGTACTGGTACTAGCTAGCTAGTACATGACAGTTCCATTACCTCAAGACATTTTCTGCTACAGTGTTTTCTGTCTTGTGATTTTGCCAACTAAAATGAGATTAGTCTAGCACACTAGAGCAGTTCATTATTCATTCTATTGCTCAAGCTTATCTCACAAACAGTGTTTCTGGGCATGGTATATCGCTTCATAGTACATACGTCCAATCGGAATAGGCCAGTCGCATTCGCGGTGCCACGTGGTGCGGTGGCTTATTCTCTCTGGTGAGGTGGCATGTGTCATCATCTCATGATCAAAAGTGGGGTAAATTGGGCCTGCAATTGTCGGAACTGGTGTGATCCAACTCTCCTAGTCTCCGACTCCAGCCCGCCCCGGTGGTGGACGATGGTAGACTACTGATACCATCCAATTTTTTGTAATCCTTCCTCATCATTCGGTCTGGAGACTAGGAGCCATATATATTCGTCCGCAATGAGACCTCGAACAGATAGAATCCCTAACACCAATGCGGTTGACACAGACGAGGAAATGGGACCAATCGAAACTGAGCGCGCCTTTGCAAACACCAGGCAGTTGGTGGAGGGTCCTTTCGATCGTTCACCAGCACCCGAAGAAAGTGCCTCTGGTGCCTGCACTACATGTGTTCGAGAGTGTAGCCGGGAGGGCTGCGACACCAGAGCGAAGCGCTTGGGCGATTCGTCTCACGCCTATAGTAGTACTTTTGGCTACCGCAGTGCTTGCATCATAGCTACACTTGTCCTTGCTGTTGGAGCGGGTGCATCCTCTCTGATTCTCGGCGCAGGCTATCATGCATCTCAACAAAGTCAGGAATCGCAGTATCAGAGGTTGGGCGCGGACCTAATACACTTGTTTGAAATGGCGATCAAAGAGCACCTTGTGGCAGGGCTTTGGATTCACCAAGCTTGTCGCCAACGACGAGATTCGTTGACTCATCAAGAGTTTCGTGTTGTATACGAGTCCCTTGCCAGCACAGGGCTCGATCTCCAGGCCATTGGTTGGGCCATGAATGTCACTGGCGCTCAGGAAAGAGCACAGGTAGAAAGCCATACCCGTCAGTTCTTGCAAGAAGAGTATCCAGAGTTCAATTACACTGGGTTCAGGGGATTCGATCCCACCCGAGACGAAAACCCAGCCACCCTGCACCACGATCGCACGCATTACTATCCTGTCCACTTTGTCGAACCCCTGGAAGACTTGACTGTTAAGGCAGCACTCCTTGACTTTGACATTAGTACATCGCTCGTACGTCGAAATGCCGTCTTGGAGGCTGTCAACACGAAGCTGCCTGCCATGACTTCTCGCATGAAGGGTCTTCAAAACATCGACAGCGTTTCGTATTCTACGATGATCATGCATCCCGGAGTAAGCCTCAGCGACTCCACTCCAGAGTCAGCTCGGCGTCACGTAGGCGACGTTAGCATTGTTGTCATTCGAATCCAAGAGATGATTATGAAGATTCGAAGACAATTCAACGTAGCTCAACCCGTGTCCGTCTTCCTTTACGACTCAACCGAAGACCTCGGTATAGCACAGAAGTCGTCGTCGTCAGTTCCCGAAGCTCCAGCTTTCTTGGGAGGGGCACAATTCCATGCCGACCAAGGGTTCGACTTCGACTCTCATCATCATGAAGATCATGACGGAAGTAACTTGCTCACTTTCTCAACGGAACAAGGACTCGAAGATGTCCGAGCCTCCAGTCATCGCTACCGGTTCGAGAAAACTATGTCCGTTGCCTCTCGAAGGTGGACATTTGTGGCTGTTTTCCATGATTGCACACTACCTCCCACTCTACCGTTCCTTGGTTTGGGCGCTTCTCTAATTTTTCTGGCTTCGCTGTTTTTGGCGTTCGGTATGGTCAGCAATCATCGCCGCACAACCAACATTCATCAGCTCAAGGCTCAAGCAAGCGCGGAGAGAGCCAACCGAATGATAGAACAAGAGAAGCAGTCCACAGAGAGGCAGCGAGAACTTAACCAGTTTGTATCGCATGAAATCCGCAGCCCTATTGCTGCGGGAATCTCTTCGTGCTCCTTCGTCCAAAGCGCTTTGCAAGATTGCCGAAACAACTCCTGCGTGAACAGGGAAGAGAGCAATCAAGCCGAGGGCTCAGCCAAGGTTCTGATCGAGGAAGCTGAGCTTCAATGCATAGAAGAGGATGTTGCTGTCATCGACCAAAGTCTCCAATTCGTCAACGATCTCTTGCGGTGAGTTGCTGTTATATGCGGTGTGTGCTTATACGTTGGCTTGGGCATTGATTCTCAGTTAGAACGTCGATTCACATAGGAACATTCTGGATCTCCACCGGGCCAGTTGCAATCAAATGCAGATCGAAATGGAGCCTGTGAATCTCCTACAAGATGTCTTGGAACCAGTGGCTTCTATCTTGCATCAGCGCCACATTCCTGACTTTGAAGTGCTTGTGGAGTGCGAAGACAATCTCATTCTTCTGACTGATAAGCTAAGGCTCAAGCAGACAGTTCTCAATTTGGGCCGGTAAGTCGAGACACACTAGTTTGAATTGTGGACACATGCATGAATGCTCATCTACTGTGATGTTTCTCGTTTGACACCTGCTACCACAGGAACTCGACCAAATTTGTCACTACAGGCTTTGTCCGACTGGGCGCAGCTGTTGTGAACGGCAACGTGCAGGTGTATGTCGAAGACTCTGGTCCAGGCATTCCCCAAGAGAAGAGAGAGCACTTGTTTGGCCGGTTCCAGGACGCGCTGGATGCTCTTGGGCAAGGAACGGGGCTTGGCTTATCTTTGTGCAAAAAGCTTGTGGAGCTCATGGGCGGTCAGCTGGGCTTGGATGAGTCCTATGACAGCGGTGTCCCCGGTTGCCCTGGAGCGCGCTTTGTGGTAGACCTGGCAACTGAACCCATCGAAGAATATGAACTGTTTTCTTCATTGGAGGAAGATGGCGACAGCGTAACCCCCCTTCCCACTTTACAAGAACTCCAGCAAGTTATGCCAGCAAGAGACCGTCGATTGCCCGAGAACATGACGGTTCTTCTCGTTGATGACGATTGGCGACTCCGTACGCTCTTTTCGAAAGCTTTGAGCCGCGTCACGGAGGGTTGGACCATTCGAGAAGCCGCCAATGGGGAGACAGCTCTGCGTCTCGTCGAGGAAACCAAGTTCGATCTGGTGTTCATGGATCAGTATATGAGTTGCGTCGTCAAGCAGCTCCTGGGGACTGAGACCGTGCATGCCATGAGAGCCCGTGGGGTTTCTTCCATCATTTGTGGATTGTCGTCCAACGATGTGGAAAAATCCTTCCTTCAGGCCGGGGCCGACTGTTTCCTATCCAAGCCACTTCCGACGGAGCAGGAATCGTTGACAGATACGCTGTTCCATGTACTAGATTCGGCTCCTGTGAAAGAAGGACCGGCGTCGCAGAAGAAGGCAAAGAGACCGTCGTTCACAAGCCGCAAGTTTCTCAGGAGCGACAGCGGCATATGCACACTGCTTGACGACATTTCCGAGAGTGACGAATCTGTTGCTGCTGTGTACGCTTTGCCAAAGGCCTTGAGGGTCATGTTTGTGGAACCTGACATGGAAGTGTTCGAGTCGTACCGAAGCTGCATCCGACAGATTGCGCCGTGTTGGACGTGTCATCATGTATCGGATGGCAAGACGGCAATCGACGTCGTTGCCGAGCATGACCAGCACTGGGACCTGATCTTCTTGGATCAGATGGGCTGCGACAAGCAGAACGGTCTACTGCTGGGTACCGACATTGTCACCGCGATGCGAGAGCTGGGAGTTGAATCTGTCGTCTGTGGATTGTCGACCAACCAGAGTGCTCGCAAGGACTTTCTCGATGCGGGAGCGACTTGTTTCCGGACCAAGCCCCTGTTCACGACCCCAGAAGACTTCGCCCTGGAACTGTTGAGCATTCTAGGGATACCACCATCCGAAGCAACCCAGGGTACACCAGCAAGACTTCCTCCTACCAACCCTACTGCTGCTCGAGCCAACAGCCCGCTGGGGCAACCAGCGACAAGAAATTCAGCTTTGGTATCATCATCATCGCAGCTGCTCCCGCCAAACTTGTCCGTCCTGCTGGTGGATGATAGTCCCATGCTGCGCAAGATGTTCTCTCGATGTTTCCAACGTGTCACTCATGGCTGGACCATTCATGAAGCCAGTACAGGAGAGGATGCCCTGTCCGTGTTGGAGTCTCGTGCGGTGGATATTGTCTTTTTGGATCAGCATACCAATTCCTCCATGCTTGGAACCGATGTTGCCACGGCCATTCGGGAACAATACGGTGCTGCCATTACCATTTGTGGCCTGTCCGGTGACGACATTGAATTTGATTTTCTGGATGCAGGGGCGGATTGCTTTGTCCGCAAGCCGTTTCCCTGTGACCCAGACAATCTGACCAAGATGCTTTCTCGTGTTGTGAATAGTCGAGGACGGGAAGAGCATACCAGCCAGCCGCTGCTGCCACCGAATCGAAATGGTGTAGCAGCCGAGATGGCTTGAAGTATATTGTAAATATCATTCGAAACCATTCATGTTTCTGAATATAGCTAGAATAATCTCAATGCAAAAATAAATAAAGCAGCCACTGTCCGTAACTTGCACCCCGCAATTTGGAACTGAATAGAGGCATGGAGCGTGTTGAAGGTTGGAATTTGCAGAATTGATCGACCACAGAATTCATGCTTCTGACAATAAGTCCTGGTAGAGGTCGCAGTCAAGGACACCAAATTCGACGGAGTTGTTGCAAAAGAAACTTCGAGTCAACCTCGATTAGCTGGGGATGGCTGGTTGGGTATCCTGAGAAAGACATGGTCGTGATCCACAACATAGTTGCAATAATCTTATAGAGAGTGTGTGTTGCATGTACAGAAGTCCCACTAACACCATCGCCTTGGCTCGTACCATTTTCTTTCTTTTCTTCCAAGTCAACTCAACTCAAGCCAGGCCAAGCCTGATGACTATCCAAAGAGGAAACACGCCAAGAGGACCGTCTCTCATGATACAAGCCATGGACGGCAGAAAGCTGGAGACACCCTTCTTGTCTGTAGTTTGGTGTCTTGGCCGGAACATCATCCGAAGAACAAGACCAAACTGGCAATTTTGGACCTTGGGCTGAATTGAATTCCCTCCTCCGACTTGAATCCATAGGTAGTTTTACCAAACTGGATCAGACAGGTGGCAACTCAAAGGAATAATAAACTATAGGGGATTATCATACCGTACATTCCACCCTCATCCATCACAGAAAAGCCCTGTGCAAGCAAAGATTGCCGTCTACGCGGAAACAACAAAAGCAATCGGATACATTAGCAGGAACGACCATACCACGATGACAGCACCGCTTCCCGTCTGCTCAGCGAAGTTAAGCATCGTCGGGCCAGGTTAGTACTACGGTGGGGGACCACGTTGGAATCCCTGGTGTTGTTCTTTTCTTCCTGTGGTCGACAACATCCCCTGTTGCGTTGGCTATCGCTCGTCAATTTTGTATTCTGGATGGTTTTGTGAACGGCTTGGTGCTATCGGATGGCCAACAAAAATGAGCCGAAACGGGTTATGAGCCATCCAATCGGTCCGGTCCCACTTGTGCAAACAGATTCTACAACGGAACACAGCCATCAGTCAGCCAAAGTGGGATCAAAACATGGGCAGCAACAGCAACAGCAACAACCATGAGCTTCAAAGTGTGGGTAAGATGGAAGGACGCTACTACCGGTAGCAATGATTGGTCGTTCGATAAGGTCACTACGCTTTTTTTAAAAATGATGATGCTGATGTCAGCGACCTGCGCAAAGCGTTTGTGAAGCAGCAGAACCTACGGACTTGCAGCTTTTCAAATTGGGATACAGCAGGATCTATGCATAAGAGACATGGACCCAGATCTCTCGGTTGGCCGTTTCAGGGGGGAGATCGCAAAGCTGTATCCCCACCATTTTGTATACCGGTACCAGTGCCCGTCATTTGCTGGGGATAGCGGTGGTGCAGTTGTGTTAAAAGATGGTAGGGTCATCGGAATTCACCAAGAAACTGTCAACCAAGCTAGAGAAAGGATCCAACATGGAATGGACATGGATGGTGATGCTGTTGCTGATGCGCGCTTGGAGTCGGTCGAGGCATCCGTTGACGACCTAATTGGATCTTTATCGAGTGGCTCGATTGGTCTTCAGCTATCTGCAATTGCGACACCCACCCAATCGAATACCGCTACTAACTTACCGCGACCGTAAATAATGACAATCGGAGCGACCATATCTCGCCTCCCTCCTGCATGCATGGTCTAATGGTACTAGTAGGACACGGCACTCTGAGGGTCAGGTTTCAGTTCCCTGTTCTGGTAGGCTCTGTTAATTAAGCTAACTACCGGTGGCCAGGCAAGGAGCTGTGATCGCCTTCAAAGATCCGAGCACAGAGGTACAGCTGTGCCAGTTTGGGGTATCAGCAAGGTAACCAGGACCATGAAAGTGACACGGTACCATGGTACAGCTTGAAAGCTCCCCAACCTGAGAGTATACTTGACCGTCGACTGGTTCCAAAAACGACGAAGGATTGCTTCGGCTTGCTCGTACGCTGTGGAGGAATGATTCGATTCAATCTGGCTGTGTCATCTATTGAAGTTCGAGTAAATACTCGTGAGTCGAGTCGACTCTGCTTTTTCTTTGAAGGGTGGGCGCCAGGGCCTTCAAAAGACGATTGTCTGGTGTGGTTCAGAGTGACGCAGTTCAGCAATCTACTTCGAACCCACTAGTCATGAAGTCTTGATCTCTTGGAGAACTTCTGATCTCATGATCTGCCTCCTCGTCTCCCGCAACAAGGCCTTCTTCGACCGTACCTAATACCAATGCACTGCTTTCCGCTGAAGGTTCAGCGACTGCTTCACGTCGATCAAACCCATCCTCGACGACGTTGGGTTGATCTTTACTGCAAGTATTAATCCTTTCGCCGTTGGTATTTCGTAAGGTTTGCTCCAGGCGTGCGCAACTTTCCTCCGCGGGAACGATGATTTGTGGGTTGTCAACGATTGAGTCACCTTCCTGGACTTCTGGTGCATTGTCCCCAGTGTCTTCAGGGTCCCCCGCGGGAAAGATGATTTGTGGATTGTCAATGATTGAGACACCCTCCTCAGAGTCTTCAGGTGCTCCACTTTCGCTGGACAAATCATGCGGCTTTGGAACAGGCAAAGACGAGCCCTGCGCCAACGCACATTCCACAGAGCAGTCCCCGCCCATATCGCTTGGGGCAGGCGTTGGGTTCGGCATTTCCATTGCAATTGCCACTGATGGATCCATCTTGTGATCCGGTATTTGCGCTTGACCTTCCACGTCTTCGTCGGCCGTCGAAATCTCATGACGGCGAAGCATTCGCAGAACGGCTGACACGAGAACTGATGATGAAGCTCGAACTGATTGTGAACTTCTTCGCCGACTTGTGGTGCTTAGCCTACCGTTGTCTCTGCCAATTAGTTTGGGGCGTATATACACCAGAAAGTTTGTAAACCCGGAAAGGGGGGCTACAAAGGCAATCGTCAGTGCCAGCCCAAGAGGCCCATTGACACCCACAGAGCCCAAATAAACAGCAAACATGATGGGCCATGTAATATAGAAAGCCATTACATAGAAGAGGCACTGCCAAAAGACAGCCTGTTCCATTTTGCTGGCTGCTCCAACTCCCAAACTCCATTTCCGTGATGCACCAGCCCTTGCCCTAACCTTGCTGTACACAACCAGCATGCAGGAAGTGATGACAACGATTGACAAACCCAAGGGAATGATGACAAAGAGAAGCACTGGAGAGAGGCAATAATGAATCCAACAACCAATGCAGTTTGAGAGTCATTACACCACAAAGACGATCTTTCCACAAGCAACACTGCACCTACGTACCAGTTCCGAGGCTCCCTTCTGGATGGGGCAGCAAATGGCAAGCATATCCCATGAAATTATAGCTCCCCAGAGCCCCCAATGCGAGACCCAACCCCAGCATGCATGGAACCCCATGCAAGAACAAGTGGATCTTCTTGAGTTGGAATTCTCTCCAGCCATGGGCAATGACAAGCAGATAGTACAAGGAAAGTGATACATTGTAGAATACTGATGTGAAACCAAGCTGGAGTGGAATGGGTTAGTGGGACGAGGCGGAATTCCTCTGACCTGTTGGGCACATGCGTACAGTACGTACCTGAATAAAGAACCCTTGTGCCTTGCAGGATGCCTCGTTTCCCATGGCACCAAGAATGTGGTCCGTTCCCGAAAAGGTGGTATCAATGGGGATTGTTGCCAAGCTCCAAGACACTGCCGTCACCAAGTCGAAGACTGCCATACCAACGAGCAACTGATGGTAGACTGTCACTCGTGCCTTGACATCCGACAGGCAACTATACAGCACATAGGAGGCACCCAAAAAAGACAAGATGGCCGCTGTGCGAGATAACCAAATCAAAGCCATTTTTTCCGAGTCGGTGGTAGCTCCCAAATAGGTTTCTCCCTGCGCCAGTGCAGTTTCAATGGGTGGGCAATACTGATCCGGGCAGTATTTGACGAGAATCAACTCTTCATAGCATCCCTGTAGTGACAAATAAATGTCTTTGCCAAGATACCCGATCAATGCATCGCAGTCCTTCTCAATGTCCTCCAGCACTGGATTATTATTATTGTCTTCCTCCAAAGTATTATTTTCCGCATGGCGCTGTAACCGGTCCAAAGTAAAAGTCTCCAACTCGGGTGTCAAAAACTGGTCCACAAAGTCTCGGTTGTTGCAGGCGGCATGCTTGATGCAAAAGTTATCCGGAATAGTACCATCGTGTGGTGCGCACCAGAGACACTTGTGGAAGAGCTGTTGTGCATTCTCACATTGCTGACTGCCCTTTGGAATATTGATTTGGGATGGATCAAAAGTGCCGTCGGAAACCGCAGTGACGACTCCAACACCAATACCAACACCATCCCTTTGGAAGAGGCTCTTGGAGATATCCAAGCAGACATCTTGTACTTTCTTCAAGGCCATCATATCCTCTTCCCATGCGGCAATAATACCATTATTAGTAGTAGTATTGCAGGATGGAGGATGTTCCTCACTAAAACATAGATTGTCGGGGTTACACCAAATACAGTCGCTGTATGCGGCTTGAGCTTCCGGACAGGACGGATCACTTGCTTGGATGCTCTTTAGATACTCCCCATGATTGGATACATTCATAATCACGTCTATATCCACTCCAAAAAAAGCCCTGGCAGTGATTAATTCACAAGGAGTCAGCTGGGGAGGCGAAGGACGGGCCCCTTCTGGAGGACTGCCCCCTCCTGGAGGTAATCCTCCGGGTGGTGGTTGGCGGATTGTAGGGATTTCTTCACCACAAGTTGGGTTTTCGGAAAAACATCCCCCCTCACAGTATCCCGGACAAAGGTGTTTGATTTCTTTTTGTCTGATGCACATGTCCACCGAGAGGAATGGATGATCTCCAAATTCTTGCATGAAGTTGCAATAGAGATCAATATCTTGCTCGGATGTATACCGTGAATAGTTGGCAGTTGTAGTAGTTGTTGTTGTGTCATTTATGACTTGGTCAAGTGTGGGCTGCCCCCCACACTGTACTACTTGATGACGGCGACGACAATCGTTGCGGGGTTCCACTGCCATACACCAGACACACCGACTATATGCCAGTTGCACGTCGGCACAAAAGGGATCACTGGCATCAATAGCGTTGATGTATTCGGCATGGCGGGTAGGAAACTCCATGAGATCAAACGGCAGAAATTCTTCCATGAGTCGACGACATACCCGTTCCACATCCACAAAATTCATGCCATTGCCAATATTACCGGTAGGAGGTACATGTAGTAGCTGCTCGGGATCAGGACAGACCACGGGAGCCAAATCGTTGCAGCCTTGCTTTACATACTGGCCTAGCACTAGTAGAGCAGGGTGGCTGCCGATTGTGAACAGTACCAGCAGTACCGGTAGCAATAGCATGATACCCAAAACTAGACTATAATAACAAGACAGGCAAGTCCAGAAAGTAAATGGAAGGATCAGATCACACAGCAGCGGCGAATGTGGTAAAGCAGATGTTGTTTTTGTGGCTGGGCTGTTTACTGGGCACCTGGCCTGGCCTTGAAGCAACCAGCTGTCACCACAACAGGTACCACATCGACCGAGTAAAACTTCCCCAGCGACCTACTAGCTAGTACTCTAGCTACTCTAGCGTAGCTAGCTAGCTAGTAGGTACTGTGGCCAGCTTCTAGCTATGCATAGCTGGACCCCGCCCCTAATTATAACCCAAGGAGCATGCTGAGAACTAGTACAGTCGTACCGTACAATTAGAGCTGGCTTGTAGTTATTCCTTGTAGTCCCGGTCGCCTGAAGGCCCCCTAATTTCCTGCGCCTCCCCCGTTTACACTCATTGTAACTCAATTGTACAATGTGCCCTTCTTTCTTTTCCCTTGCTGCCTTGGAAGTTCATCGAAGATCGGATGACGGAGCGAGAAACGCGGTGACAAGGTGACAATGAAGTCTTTGGTTTTATATGATTGCTCTTTTATTCACTTTTCTACCTTGCTGTACTTACTGTATTCACTCGTAATCTTCCTACAGGACCTCTGTGGAAACGTCATTGGTGGCAAAATACTTAAGAGACGATACACCGAGGAATAGGAGACGATCGAAATGATTTAAGAGACGAAAGCAATCGTCTCCTATATTTAGGAGACGATTCAGTAGGAGACATTCCAATTAGGAGACGAAAATTTCGAAATAGGAGATGATCCGAAAGATTTAGGAGACGATACCATACAGTTTACATTGTACACTTAGGAGACGATCCGTTGAGAATAGGAGACGATCCGTTGAAAATAGGAGACGTTTTAAGAGGAGACAAAAGATTCAGGAGACGATCCGTTTCGTCTCCTATTTTTAGGAGACGAAATCCATTAAATAGGAGACGATCAAAAGGATTTAGGAGACGAAAAGTAGCACGAGTCGAGTTTCCACAGAGGTCCAGTACTAGTCTAGCTAGAAATGGTTCTGAAGGGGTAGCTTGAGGACCAGGTACGACTGTACCGGTACCTGGTACCAGGTAGTTGTTAATTAAAAAAGGCACCATTGGAAGAATGATCTGGAGTTGAGGTAGATTTGGTAAATAGAATGTCACTAGATAATAATCTTAACTCTATAATTACCTGAACTACCGTTATGCAGCTGCCAAACTTTTGGTGTTCTCCTCCTTCGATGCACCAAAGGGGGGCTGCAGTTCTTTTGTGAGGGGGTCTCTAAGTAGAGTATGTTGGGGGTTAGAGTAGTACTAGTAGGTGGATTATCTACGGAAGCTAGCTAGTAGAGTAGTAGGGAAGTCGGGAACTTATCAACCATATAACCTGGGTCGCTAATTGCTCTGAGTAATTCCTTATACTCCCGGAATAACCATCTAGCTAGTTCCTTTGGACTTGGGAGGAATGATTACCTCGGCAGTCTATCTGCCTGAGCCCTCTACCCCTTTTTCGGTATTACGTCTCCATGAGATGACGCTCCTTTTGGTTACCCCCTCAGTTGCACTCTGAAATCGATTTGCCGGCGTTTACTGTGTAAAATAGAGTAGCGGCACTTCAGTTGCAGAATCAACGGTCATGTGTATCGTTAAGTAACAAGTTCCCTTTCGAAAGATTTAGATCGATTCGTGGATAAACAGAACCATTGAAGTTACTAAGGTTAAGGCTGAACTGAATTACAGAGGATTTGATTCGATTCCATCCAATCGTCCATCAAATCTTTTTTTGAAGGCACAGCGCCGACTTCTCTCCCTCACTGAATTGCTATGGCAAACAGGAGAGAAATCCGAGCTTGGCCGACAAGAGCGGTGTTGAATCGATCGATCAATTGAACGATCGAACGACTGGTACGGTGGTACGGAGGTAAGCATACCTATAATCAAGAGTGTTATTGAAGGTGCAGATTCGAAAGCCATCCACCATTGAATTTCTATGGACCACAGGAAGGCAGTCAGATCTCGGCCGTCAACAGGTGAGTTGTTTTATTTATTCGAGTCGATCGATCGCGCCTCTATTATTTCTGTTATCCAAGCCTCACTCAAGCCGGTTGACTCTGGTAAAGAAGCGAAAGTCATCCCTCATTGATGGATCATGGGATGGCAGTCAGTTCTCAGCCACGGATGGCCAAGTTAGTAAAAAACAAGGGTAAGTCTCCGGTTGTCTGCAGTTCAGCACAGAAAACAAAACTCATATCTATTTGTTGTTTTCTCCTCTGCACTGCTGACGGCCGATGAACTACCATTGTTGAGTCCTTTTCGAACCAACGAACAATCGCTATGCTACTGCTCCTACAGAGGAAACTGTTAACTCCAGCCCTACCAACAGCATGAACGAACGTCGTCGAGTCATTGAAGAGGCAACAGTTAACCGGAGGAGGCTACACGACAACACACAAGAGAGTGGATCCTCCTACCGGATTCATCCCTCCTTGTTATTTCCTAGTATTTTGGTGGTGATTTCTGTGTTCATACCCATTTTCCCGTTGGAACAGTGCTTGTGGAGCCTGGATTGACAATATTCCTGTATTCATTGTAATGGTGAGGCAATGGAGCGTAGTGAGCAAAACCGAACCTGAGGGTGTTCGGTACTGTTGCCAGTGTCACCGATTGATGTAACTCTACGGTAACTGGCTACAATGGCTGGATTGACAATATTCGGTTGTGTATGTATTCGTCATAAGGATTCAATGCAAGGTACCGGTAACGGAGTGTAGCAAGTAAAGTGGAACCTGAGTGTGTTCGGTTCTGTTGCCACTGTCACAGATTGATGTAACTCTACGGTAACTGGCTACAATGGCTGGATTGACAATATTCGGTTGCACATGCATGTATTCGTCATAAGGATCCAATGCGAGGTACCGGTAACGGAGTGTAGCCAGTAAAGCGGAACCTGAGTGTGTTCGGTACTGTTGCCACTGTCACGGATCGATGTAACTCTCTGCCTAGGGTATCGTAGCTGGCTACAATGGCTGGATTGGGATCCAAGTAGCGAGTAAACTGAGGAAACAGGAGACGAACGCTGGGAAAAAAAGCCGAATTTCCTATTTCCTGTTCTGGTGAAGCTAAAATATAGGGATAGAGATGGTGTAAGCCAACAAAACTGGAAATTGAAGGTTCTACAAATTTAGGGGTAGGAATAAATCATGATTATTCAAGGTTAGTGCACTCAACACAATAAGCCAGCAGAAACAGGTACATACGGGAGTGACATCTGTAAAATTATGGTTAGCGGGTGGCAACACACGACGAAGTCGGGTGTTGTCGCTAGGGCTAGCTTATATTAAAAAGAAGGTTATCATGAGGGAATGATACCGGGCGGCAACACACGACGAAGTCGGGTGTTGTCGCCAGAGCTACCAAATTGAAAGAAGGGTGCAATCTCAAACAGATCCTCTTTCTTCTATTTGTCTTTCTGCCAAGGTATCGTAGCTCCCGCTGACTTATTCCCTTGCAGTAAGAAGGTAAAGTATGATACATGTACATCTAGTTGCTCCTTGTAGACTGTAGACCAGTAGTGAGTCACAGCTCAGGACTGGACTCAGTCACAATCAGGACTGGTGAGTCTCATTACCTCTCATTCAAGGAAGTGATTGAATCATTCCTTCATTCTGGCAAGCTGAGAAGTAATGAAGAAAAGTAATTAGAAACCAAGAAGGAAATCTTGGCTTAGCTAGGAAAAGAAGATACAATGCAATACACGGCTCTTAGCCTTATTCGCGACTCGATCCTAGATAGGGTTTGAGTTCGACTCATGACGTAGTCCTTCGCGAATAGTCATTGGA